AACATTTTTTAAAAGGGTCTGGTTTGCATCAAATTTTTATTTTGTAAAAATTTCTCTCTCCTGTATCCCCAGCTGTGCTTTGTCCCCACCTTCCCCCATCTGGATGTGGGCCTGATTCTTCTGCTTTGCCATGCTCCTTGCCTAAGTAACTCTGTGCTGAGACATCGGAACTGGAGTAACTGAGGCAGAAGCACTCACTAGCCAGACTCTCTTCCCTTTCAATATAGCATCTCCTGGTGGGGGAGGACATGTTTGCAGACTTAAAGCAACCCAGACTGCAGCTGTCACAGCTCGCAGGACATACAGGCTGGGATGGTCCTGGACAAATGGGATGGTGGGTAACTATCTTGCTAATTCACATCTTGTGTTGAAATTTCAGGTTGAACTGTAACTTTGAGAAATACCATTCCTTGGCTTCCCAGTCTTCTCCAATGTGCCTCACAATCATCCTCTGCCTCCATTTTTTTACAGCACCTTGCACCAACAAGAATTTCCCCCCACATAGGGCTTCTCTGTTTCATAAAATGTCCCAGGTAGTGTACAACTAAAAGAAAATTCTTCTGCTCTCATATTCTTGGATGACTTTTATTGTTTTTCAAATTTAGCACTCAGGTTTTGCTGCCTCTTCTTTCTTCTTTGCTGCCTGAAACTGAAGCTGAACCTGAGCAAGACAGAGCTGATACTTGTGGCATTTTGCAGAGCTTGTGGCTCTGTTGATTGATGACACACACCCACAAATGATCAATTTAGTCAATTGACTAGGAATATTCTTGGATTCCTTGCTGGCACTGAGCTTTCGCATAGCAGCACCCACAAGTATTGCTTACTATCTTCTTCACTTGGCTAAGAGACTCCGTCCCATCCTGGAGGACAAAGACGTGGCCTCAGTCATTCATCCCTTTGTCACCTCCCAGCTGGACTACAGCAAAGCAATATATCTGGTCATCAAGCCTTCAGCAGTTAGGAAACTCCAACTAATATAGAATGCTGCAGAGTGTCTCCTCAGCAACACAGGCTACTGTGAGTGCATCAGACCTGTCCTCTGCCCTCTAAACTGGCCTTCCATAGAATTTTGAATCAAGTTCAAGGTATCAGGCTAGGTCTACACTACCCGCCTGAATCGGCGGGTAGAAATCGATCTCTCGGGGATCAAATTATCGTGTCTCATCGGGACGCGACACTCGATCAACGAATCGACGCTCTTACTCCACCAGCGGAGGTGGGAGTAAGTGCCGTCGACGGGGAGCCGCGGAGGTCGATTTTGCCGCTGTCCTCACAGCGGGGTAAGTCGGCTCCGATACGTCAAATTCAGCTACGCTATTCGCGTAGCTGAATTTGCGTATCTTAAATCGACCCCGCACTGTAGTGAAGACCTGCCCTCAGTCCTTATCTTCAAAGTGCTCCATGGTCTGGGGAATTTAAAAGATCTGGGATGAAGATTGTGGTCAACAACTACGCTTCTCGGCCACAATGGAACTCTCAACAATAATGGTAAAGTTTGTCTGTGTAGAAGTAAGAACTTTCTCTGGGGGTGGTCCGAGACTGTGGAATGAACTCCCTCAAAACTAAGGATCATCACAAACTTCACCACTTTCTGCTTCAAGTGCAAGGCACATTTGTTTGACCTTGCCTTCTCTCATTTAAACACATTGCAACAGGTATATTTATATTACAAAGAACCCCACACACACTATCAAAAAGACACTCTCCTGAACACACTTCTCCCTCTGGAAAGCCAATGAGAGAAAAAATGCCATGTGACAGATGTGTAATCACATTGCTTAATGCACTATTGGAAGGTGCTCAGATACCACAGTGACGAGCACAGTATAAGAACCTATATACAATACAATAGAACAGAATAGAACAGAATAGATATGGGAGCCTTTTCTGTGACATAGCAACTGACTCATCAGCTCCCACATCTGGGTGCAACAGCCCCTTTAACAGGTGACACAGCATACATCTGCAGCAGCTGGATAGATCAATTTGTGCCCAGAATTGAATTTTTTTGGTGGCCACTTTTTAGGACTTATTATGAAAGTGTTAGGAATGCAGTGTTAAGGTGGGTGACTGCCACTTAGAGGTAGTCGTGAGCAAATATTTTACTTGTTATTCTGAAATTAACATTTACCAACAAATCTAACTATGATAAAAATAGCAAAGGGAAATCTATTGGAAGTCTATGAAATGCGTAGCATAAACAAACTGCTATAAAATCAAGGTGAAAGAAATTACAGACCAATTCAATTGCTAGTGCAGATGTATAGAAGCTAGTACTCTGTGGTTTATACGTTAGTGGTACATAGAACAAGCCTGGTTTATTCTGTTTTTAGTAAACAGAGCAGGAGGTTGATTGTAAATGGTGTGTTTAGCAAAATAGACTGAACATATGAAAAATTATTCACTTTGAAGACTTACAACCCACACATGTCATTTATATCATCCAGGCACTCAACACAAAAGGCTTATTGTTTTTGGCAAAATAAGCTGCAAACATCCTTAATTGGGATGCAAATTTAATGCATAGTTTAACACTGTTGACAGCTAAAAGCTAAAAGGACATTTCGATACATTTTTCCACTTACGTTACAGATGGTAAGCAGCAGATATATAGTAAAGAGCCAGAGCTATTTAAAAAGTGTACCATTTTTATTTCACAGTTTTTATATGCTTGTCAGCATTACAAGACTTACTTTGAGTTTTTCTTCTCGGGAAGCATATGAAATGAAAAAATTGGTTTTTGTGATGAAATACTTGAGAATAATTGAAAAGCTGAAACAGTCTAATCTTTTCTGCTCCTACTGAGAAACAACTTATTCTATCAAGCCCAAGTCAGATATTTGATAATTGTTGGCATCTATATTGCTTTCCCACTGATGAAAAAGGATTAGATTACAGATTACAAAGAATTATTGATTTTTTCTGTTCTCCAAATGCTGAGTGGAATTCTGTGTTCACGAATATGTGAGACATAATGCTTGCATTTTAGATGTACAGTTGGCAGTTGAGGACTGATCCAACTCCCATTAAAATCAGTAGAAAGATTCTCACTGATTTCAATGAGAATTGGGTCAGACCTATTGTTGTCAGGCCCCGTGCAAACTTCTCTACACAATTGCAGTTAATGCAACCTAATCCTGTAACTGGCTACACCCTTGAAGAAATCTGTCTTCTGGTTGTGGTGTACTGTACACTGAGGACAAGTAGGTGGATTCTGGCCACCAAACTCACTCCCCTTAGATTTAAAATCATACATAAAATGTATGTCTCCAGATCTGAATAATCTATTGCATCATACAAAATCTATATAAACTCTGAACTCTCCTCTCCCTCATAATGCAATAACAGCTTCTTATGACATTTTTTTTTACTCTAAAAGATTAGCAAATGGTTGTTATGCCAAACCCTATCACTATCCCTTGCTTAGCAGGCAGGAACTCTTCGTTATTTCCTAGAAGATATGCCTGACCCTCCATGTCCTTAAGAGTATCTGACTTTTCATATTTTGAAATTTACAATACTCTAAAAATATGTAAACTGGTGATAGGTATCATGAAAAATATACATGAAAACATTCACTAGTTACACAGAATTTTTTAATCTTCTTGGCAAGGAAAATACTTCTAAATTAATGTCAAGGTATGCATGTGCTTAGAGCTTTCGGAATACATTCTGAATGTGTATTGTTAGATTATGTTTAAACATACTAAATGAAACCTGTGGAAACTTGCATGTTAGTTGCTCTTGAACAATTCAATTTACAGTAAGAATTTGCAAATAAGTAAATTGATCTTTTCCTCATTCGGCTACAAAAATACCAGGTTACTTAAAAGTGCAGAAAAACGGGTGCTGCTTTATATGGGAATCGAAACAGGTACCTTTTGATGTAAATTACAGTTTCTTATATGAATATCACCAGATATTACACCTGTGGTTGTTTAAATTGTCATCATAGCTTTAGTTTTGCATTAGTGAAAACACAGTTCATTACGTACAACACTGAAGCTATTAATAAAGTATTAGTTGTTGCTCATACAATTCTTTAGGAAGTTGCTGGTACAATCATTCTTTACATTAGTGAATTTTCTCTTTGTTATATAATACAGAAGTCTGTAAGCCTATTTTAATAAAATTGTTTTATGTGCCGTTCCAGCTACAAAGGCTTTCTGTTTAATTTACTCATCATGGTGAAATTCACCCTCGATGTAGATAACACAAGGTCTATACACCACTTAAAGTGCCATTTAAATACTGTTGCGAGACTGGCCTTCTATACACATGTGAATTTATCTTGTTATCCTTGAGCACCGGCTGATCTGTGTCTGGAATAAGTAGGTCCAGTGTACAGCTAGCAGACACAATCTTTTTGCAGCTTCTGCATCACAGAAAGCTGAGCCCCCTGAACTCTGTAAACACTGCTATATCCAAAATACTTAATTTGCTTAATGGACTTTCATTTCAAAATATCATCCTGGCAGATTAACAGCTTCATCCAAAGGATCCCAACTAAATCCAATACAGCATGTTACTGCTTACTTAGGTGACAATCTAGTTTAGTTTTCTCTTAATACTTCGTTTCACTCTGCTTTTCATACTGAAGGTAGATGTTCTACAGAATTTAAGTTTTACCCTTCTGAGCCATTTTGGATGTTACTTCATGTAGCACTAATATCTATTGACTACCACAGATAAGCACTTAGGACAAGCTTTTCAAACTAAGATGCCTAATGTAAATATAAATGTAATTTACTCCCATTTCCTAGCATCTTTACACTGCCAGAATGGTACAAAATGGCCTTTGCGTAAATGAGAATTCAGGACATGCATATTTTACACAGAATTGCTTGTAGCTCACTTTGCTTAAAAAATGAGAATTGCAAATTCTTGTTTTGCTACAGAAAATCAAACTTTGTAGAACTTCCAAAAATAGACAACTAGAGCAAAATGGCTCTCTGAAAAGACCACAGCATTGCAAGGAATGGTAGAATGTCAATTACATTGCCCTGTTTATGATTATCTTTTTGTCTTTTATACAGTTCAAAGCACTTACCTCATTGACTGGAATAATGTTTTTGACGTTGAAGTAGAATCCAAAGTAAACCATATTAAAAACTCCATGGCGGCCCAATGTTGCAGTGAGGCCTTTGTTGAGTCCACGGAATCCTAAGCCCTCAGTTGTAATAATTCGCCGTGCTTGGACAAAGGTTGATGGTTGCTGTACATGTAAAACAAAAGAAAGAAGAAATCACCTTTACAAACAGTAAGTGTAGTAAATTATCCACAGAGCCTCATTTCAAACCAGACAACTATCAAGGTGTTACCTACTCTTGTGATTTTATCATGAGTCTCAAAATATTTGGTGGGTTTTCTTAAAGCCCCAGCCCCTGGAATCTTGAGGTTATGTGAGAATCACAATTTTTAATTAAAAAAAAAAAAAAGGTTTACTAACCCTCATGGTTTCAGAGAAAAGCTTGAAACCATGACCCAAATGTATCCTAAGGACTCAGAAACCAGCAGGTGAAGAAAAATTTGTATGTTTTGAAATCTCATGATCCTTCTACCAATCTCATGAATTTTTGTTGTCCAAATCATAATTTTTGAATGCGTGGGGTTGGCAATACTGTTATCAGCAGAGACGCTGTGTTGCTAAGGTTGCAGTAGATGAAAAGCCACATACAAAGTGTATTTGAAAATGCCTCAGTATGGATTTAAGAGCCTAACTTTAGGCAAATAATTTTGAAAATCTTGGTCTATATTTATTATAAGTATATTGAAATTAGTGTTTGAGGTCTAGTCAAAATGGTTCTCCATTTTCCTGCTTACATGTCCTAATGGAAATCATGGTTTGCCTCTCTAATGAAATACTTTACTCTATTGGGAGCTGTTGGATTTTGAAAATCAGGCCACTTATTTAAATTCCCTAATCTAGATTTAGGAATCTCATTTAAGATATCCTGTTCTGAAAATCTTGGCCACAAGGAATAGAAACCCTCTTACTTCAGGGCATAAGACAACCACTAACTAATGAACGCTAAGAAGAAATTTCCTCTATGGACAGGTTATTACCTAATTATCCATTACAAAGATTCTAGCACCTTCCTTTGAGGCATCTGGTATTGGCTGCTGTTTGACAGGCCATCAGAATAGATGCACATTTGATGCCACATGGCAAGTCCCATGTTCCCAAATGTGTTGTATTAGATTTGGTACAGTGAATTACTTTCACAGGTCAACATTGACATTTTAGCTCTTTGCTTTAAGTTACAAGTATTAAAAAGGTCATTTAAAAAGCCTGTTTGCTGACTTGTCCTTGGTTTTCACTAAAACATAATGCCACCTTTGTATAACCAAATATTTAATTAGAAAGGCAAAACATTACTTCCACTAGTATGCTTAAACAGGAAAATGTCGAACAATTTTGACTAGAACGCTGTAAACACTGCTGATTTCAATACACTTATTTGTTTAATGGGCTTCCATTTGAAAATATCACTCTGGCAGATCAACATCATCAGCCAAATGATCCCAATTATATCCAACACAACAGGTTACTGCTTATTTAGGTTACAGCCAAGTTTTCTTTTCTTTTACTATTTAGGTTCATTTGTCCTTTGCATATTTAGAAACTAATATTGACCTGCTGATGCTCTGCTATCCATCTCTGTCCGTAGAAATAAAAAACAAACCAACCCTATTTTATCATCATGATTTACTTTTCTAGCTACACGCAAAGATATCAAAGCTCTTTACTGTAGATGAGCATCTATACACTGACTGCAGATATTCAAACTAGAATTTGATCAGGACACAAGGATTAATGTCTTTGCTCTTGGAAAAATTAAGATTGGATCTTTAAAGATAACCAGCAGTCATGAACTCAGTTTCAAGTCTCTGCTAAAGAAGGCAACTTCAACAATACAGTGCCCACTGGCATTAAGATGGATTATTGATTTACAAATGACTCAGAGGGGAAGGGATGCCAGCTGCTGAACACCTGATGCCAGTTTGGGCAGCAGATGATTTTTCTTGGCAAAACACAGGTCTGACCTTGGTTAGCTTTCGAAACCTGAAAAGATCCAATGTGGTAAGGCTGCTAGCATTTGGCCATTGATAAATACCCACTGTAGTGTTTTTATTAGGGGAATTCCAGGATGTCAGAGTGCTGCTGTGTCAAATCTGGGGGTCTTCCTCTTTAAACCAATCGACCCTAGAAAGATGCTCAGATATCACAGAACAATCCAATGGTCAACACAATATTGGTGTGCAGTCTCCCTTGTTCCTTGAAATAGGCTATATTTCTTATTTAAAGGTAACAGCCAACATAATATGTTTGCATTAAGGTTCATCGCATGGCATGAACTACACAATGGGATAAGTGCAGACACTGCTTAATCCTTTTAGAAAAACACTGCATTGTTACAGAGTGAGGATACATCATATAGAAGGTAGTAACAAGCACATGCTACTCATGAGGAAGTAGGTCTGGAATTTTGGTAAGTTAAGATTTTTTAAAAGAAAAATATAACGTCTTGTATTTCTGACATCTCCTTTAGCTTCGAATATTCTTTAGCGTATTTAAACAGGACTGAGACAGATCCTCAACTGGTAGAAATCACCACAGCTCTATTGAAGTCCATAGAGTTCAGCCAATTTACACCAGTGAATTATCTGGCATTATATTTTTAGTTACATACAACGTTAGTAAAATGTACAAAGTACCTAAGTGACTCAGTCTCATTGACTTTTTTTTTCAATAGGACAAATAAAAACGTATTTGATTTTCAATGGGATTAGGTCCCTAGGTGCTCAATTAGGTCTCACTTAGGTGCTTTTGAAAATTTTACATGAATGACTATGACATAATCATTATACTGCAATAAGGGTGTTGTTAGCATTTTCATTAAGCATAAGTGTATTTTGATTCCCTTCTTTTAAACTCAAAGAGCTTTGATTTAAAAAATGGAAGCTTTGATTTTCTAGAAAAATTGCAATGCGGAATATCACTGATTTTTTTTTTTTTTTTTTTTGAAGATCAGAGGAGAAAAGCGTAGAGGATATAGGTTTCATTTGGGGGGAATAATTAATTATAACTCACTGCAAAAAAAAGCAGCGAGGTGGATTAAAAACCCTGTGAGGGAGAATAAAGTCTCTGGAATTTATGTGCGGAGAGGATGTTGTGTTCCCATTTAGTGCTGCTGGAACTAGTTTGCTCACAATGTGGTATTAATACATTTATACTCAAAAGGAAAATTTTGTATTGAGGCAGGCCAATTGTATCTGCAGAGTTATAAAGAAGGTCTGATTATTTGTTCACGGAACTGACAGATTGTAATACTGGTTCACAATTTTTTCATATTACCCACCATGTCATAAGAGAGAAAGATCGTCTCATGGATCATCTTTCCAGTGCCCCAATCACTTTACTTTCCCTACAGTATTCTCTGTGGCCCTATTGACCATGAAGGAAGGAGGGTCCAGTGGTTAGTGTGTTAACCTAGGCTACAGGAGATATAGGTTCAAGTCCCTGCTCTATCACACTTTCTGTGTAACCTTAGGTAAGTCACTTAACCTCTTTCTATGCCCCAGTTCCCCATCTGTAAAAAGGTGATAACAGTATTTTCGTATCTCATATGGGTGTTGTAAGAGCATCACAAAGAGAAGTAAAACATCTGGCTCCTAATGTGCAACTAAGTAACTAAGTACTTTCCCTATATATATATAAAGGTGGAATAGGAAACTTTGCTGACAATATATATATATAAAGTTTCCTATTCCACCTTTGTTAAAACAGCATTGCTTAGAGGGAATATCATTATTTCATCCAAACAGCCTCAGAGAAAGTTTTCTACAACGAGCATAGAGATTCTGATTAAATATTAAAATTAACTTTAAAGTATTTCTTATATTTAACAAAGTTTTGAAAAAAGAATGGAACAGTTACCATACCTCTGTGAAAGCATTCCGATTTGCCTGTAAGCTAACCTTTACTACTTCAAAAGGGTTAACCACAACCGCTTCTGTTAATCCAGATCCCAGACCAGCAACAGCAAACGTCTAGGGAAATTAAATCAATCAATACTTAAAAATCAAGTTTTCATGAGCACTGTGGTAAAATGTCCCATACATCACATGATGAAGCTGAATGATATGATGAAAATGGAGAGACCTACACTAGAGCAGCAGTATACCATTACTAAACAGCTTTAGCCCTTGATTAGATGTTGACAGTTCATGAAGAAGAAATTACAAAAACCAAAACCACATTCCAAAAATTCAAAATAAAACGTCAAAGTCCTATCAACAACGAATTCTCTCTAGCTGGAAGGAAAGCTGTGTTACTGATTTAAGATGCATACATGGAAAAATAATGTTCCCATGTTATATTTGGGTGGAGTTTGAACGCAATGAATAATAATTTTGGTTTTTTAAAATATAAATGTAGCTATGTAATACTTAAAAAAACTTCTGTGTATTCAGCATTAAATCAAATGCACTTAAAATATAGTAAAAGTAACGAATGTTCTGGGCTAAACTGTGAAGCACTTACTTAAGCTAAATGCCCACTTAGAAGGAAAATTCTCCATGGGTAAATTTCAACCCTGAGAAGACTTAAGTGGGACTTAAGTGGTGCAGAGGGCTGGTGCTGGCCCCCTTCACTGGGGTGAATTCACCCCATCTGCTGAAAAATCGATGGCACAGTATGGCCCTGAGTAAGGCCTGTGCTTTGCACTCAGGTAGAATACGCCATATTTAGAAAGATAAAAAATGGTTCACTTTGTTCATAATAGATAAACAACAGCTAAATATTCAGAGCAGTTAAGAAAATTCAAAATAGTTAATCTTGGTCTGTTTGTTTCTTTGTTTTAGTCTCCAGTGCCAGCCACTTATAAGGACCCTCCTGCTCCTCTACCACCTTAAACCCACAGCATAGTATACGGAGTATACTGGCTGAAATAGGAAAAGAACCATGGTGGGAGGAAAGCGATAGTGAGGAAAACATCCCATTCAGCTCACATGGGGCCAGACTGTGGCTGACTCTGAATGAGTATTCAAGAAGGGAGAGGGTGGCAGGAGCCTTTAACTCTTTGTTCACTTATACAGGGGCAGTCTCAATCCCAGCCATTCTGCACCCGGAACACTGGCAATGCTGCCGGTAGGACTATATTCCCCTCATGGGATGGGAGCATGGCCCCACTCCTTCATTATCGGTTGTCGGTCTGAAGCCAAGGGGAAGAGGGTGGAAACACTTGTTTCTTCCTTTCAAAGGGACATGCTTCCTTGACATGAGCTCTGCCAGAAGACCTGGAGGTATTCCGCCTGTCTCAGCCTGGAGGTACATAGAAAACCTCTAAGATCCTTGTCCCTCACCCCTCACCATGGCTATGGCATTTAAGCCACAAGAGAGCCCTAAGTGTAACTGAAAACGATAGCAATGTAATGAAAGCGGCATTATTCATTAAAAAAATTATTGGGATGTTTGTTGCCCAGTACAACTGCTATACGAATCAAAGCTGCTCTTTGTTAAGAACGTATGCTGTATGTTTACTAGTTTTCAGCATGCTGTTCTTGGGAAAGATTGGCAATACACCAAAAAACCTGAAACCTGCTCTTTCCACTTGCCAGGGATGCGAATGACAGCTTCTCCATTGCACATTAAGAAAGAGGGAGTCTGCTGACAACATGAGGGGACTGTAAACAGCCATAGCACCAATGGAGTACTTAAGAGGAGGAAGTTTCATGTGAAGAGTTTACCATCCTGCATGAGAAGGGCAGCAGCATGTGGTGTCACACAGACAGTACCTGGGGTAATGATAAACTAAAGGTTTCCTCTCTATTTTTTACACCCTTTAGCAGGCACAGTATAGTCTAATACAGGCACGTATTCTTACAAGACAAGCGACCATATATTTTCTTTGTCTATCACAAACTTCCATCCCAGGAACCAAAACTGTAAAAAGAATTCTAATCCCAAACTCACTTGACAACAAAATCTAATAATCCAGATGTTCAGGATTTTATTATTTATTACATGACCTTTTCCAAGTAATTCAAATTTTTTTAGTCTTGCTTAAAACTCAGATACCTGGATTATTATAAACAGAACACAGGTGTCTCTACAAAGTGTGAGGTGTTTTATGCATGCCAATATTTAAAAAAAAGGGAGTAGACAGGAGGGAAGAGATTAAAAGTCAAAACATTGAAATGAAATCTGGTTGATATTTTTCAGACAAAAACTTTTCTATTAAAAATAGCCTTTTTAAAAAAAAACACATGAAAATTGTTGACATTCTTTGTTTTCCCCAGAAAACAGCATTGTGCCCTTTTTCACATTTGTTATTGAAAATATTATAGAAAATGATATAAAAATGGTGGTTGACATTTTTTGTTTACCAAAAAAAGTTACTGAAAAGGTTAGCAACATTTTCATTTAATGAAAAGCTGGGTTTTGATAAACTAAAAATGTCAATAACCATTTCAATAATATTTTCAATGGTGCCTCTTATAAATTCATTTCCCAAAATATCTAAAAATAAACAATGTTTTGACCACTTCAAAATGAAAACTTTGAAACTTGAAAATGTTGAACTTTGAAATTTTTTTTACAAAATGAGTTTTTCCATTTTTTGACCAGCTGCAACTGAAATGTATTTACTATGGTAACTTATTGATGTTTCCAGGATATCACACATTATACTTTAGCTTTTGGACTCTTCCCATGTTTTCCAAGGCCACACCTTCATATCTGCCAGGACCGGCTCCAGGGTTTTTGCTGCCCCAAGCGGTGGTAAAAAAAAAAAGCCGCGATCACAATTGCGATTGGCGGCACTCCAGCGGCAGCTCCACTGCACCGCTTTCTTCTTCGGCAGGAATTTGGCGGCAGGTGCTTTCTTCCGAGAGGGACCCGCCGCCGAATTGCCACACGTGCCGCCCCTTCCCCTTGGCCGCCCCAAGCACCTGCTTGGTGGGCTGGTGCCCGGAGCCGGCCCTGCTATCTGCTATCTGCAGCTCAGATACCTGGCATGTTTTTTCTGTTGTATTTCCCTCTGGCATCACACTAAGTATCTTGGTCCTTTTACTTTTGGGGAGGGGTAGAGGGACATCCAATATTTCCTTAAATGAACAAAAACCCTAATTATGTATTTCCACTTACCAATCCTGGTGATAGTGAAGCATGTCCTAGTAATTTCTTGTATTGTTCAAAGGTGAAAAACTATAAATTAAATACAGTTACATTAAAAACTCGGCAATGTTTAGAAGATTTTATTATAAGTTATTTATCTGATTTAGAAAAAAAGAGACAACGAAGGCCTGATTCTCCACTGTCTCATACCCTCTGTAGTCATGTATACCTGTGGAAAGGGAGTGCAAAACACTACCATTGCACACACTTTGCACAAGTGTAAATGACTACCTAAGCTACAAGGTAGTGGAGAATCAGGCCCCTCAAATGATTTTATTAGTAAATAAGGCATAATGTTAACACAAATGGAATTAAAGACAATAAGCTATTGTACACAAGAGAAGATTTCCAATACATAGTTCTTGCTTTCAATTTACTAACCTTTGCTCTAACAGCTCATTTTCAAATGTTTTTATGTAAGTTATAGAATAGCTAATGTAATCTTTTTTTGTAATAAATTAACCACACTATTTCCATTTTTGTCTGATATTAGTACACTTCTCATCAGAGAGATGCAAACTGGTAGAATTGCAGAATGGAAGTTTGTGTATCTTTCTGTAGTCTTCCACCATGAGCTGATATTTTTCTTCCAATTTCTACCCACCTTTAAAAATAAGTCTCACACAGAACTGTCTACTTTTGCTTAAGGGCCTGGTCCTCAGAAGTGCTGAGCATCTGCAACTCCTCTGAGGATCAGTTTCACAATCAGTGCCCTTTTGTATGGTAACTTGAGGGGAGAGATGGGAAATTTAGTTTTTCCTGCACCTCCATGTAATGAGCAATCCAGGACTGAGTGATAGCCATTGCCTCCTAAAACTTTCCTTGGATGTTTCAGCACATTCAGTGTTCTCAGATTCAAAGACAGAACAACTGGAGGGCCTTGTTCTTGGAAGAAGAATACACAGGGTGAAACCCTGACCCCATGAAGTCATTGACAAAGTTCCCATTGACTTTAATGGAGACAGGATTTCAGCCACAGTTCCCAACTTCTTGGGTGTAAATTCAGAAAGTTCCAAATCATCTAAATTTCCCCATATTGTTACATTTGCAAATGTACTGCTGAAATAATGTTTCATAGAATCATAGAAGATTAGGGTTGGAAGAGACCTCAGGAGGTCATCTAGTCCAATCCCCTGCTCAAAGCAGGACCAACCCCAACTAAATCATCCCAGCCAGGGTTTTGTCAAGCGGTCCTTAAAAATGTCTAAGGATGGAGATTCCATCACCTCCCTAGGTAATTCATTCCAGTGCTTCACCACCCTCCTAGTGAAATAGTTTTTCCTAATAGCCAACCTATACCTCCCCCACTGCAACTTGAGACCATTATTCCTTGTTCTATCATCTGCCACCACTGAGAACAGCCTAGCTCCATCCGCTTTGGAACCTCCCTTCAGGTAGTTGAAGGCTACTATCAAATCCCCCCTCACTCTTCTCTTCTGCAGATTAAATAAGCCCAGTTCCCTCAGCCTCTCCTCATAAATCATATGCCCCAATCCCCTAATCATTTTTGTTGCTGGGCTCTCTACAATTTGTCCACATCCTTTCTGTGTGTGTGGGAGGGGGGGGCGGGTAGGGGCGCAAAACTGGACGCAGTACTCCAGATGTGGCCTCACCAGTGCTGAATAGAAGGGAATAATCACTTCCCTCGATCTGCTGGCAATGCTCCTACTAATGCAGCCCAATATGCCGTTAGCCTTCTTGGCAACAGGGGCACACTGCTGATTCATATGCAGCTTCTCATCCACTGTAATCCCCAGGTCTTATTCTGCAGAACTGCTGCTTAGCCAGTCGGTCCCCAGCCTGTAGCAATGCATGGGATTCTTCCATCCTAAGTGCAGGACTCTGCACTTGTCCTTGTTGAACCTCATCAGATTTTTTTTAGCCCAATCCTCCAATTTCTCTAGGTCACTCTGGACCCTATCCCTACCCTCCAGCGTATCTACCTCTCCCCCCAGCTTAGTGTCATCTGCAAACTTGCTGAGGGTGCAATCCATCCCATCATCCAGATCATTAATGAAGATGTTGAACAAAACCAGACACAGGACAGACCCCTGGAGCACTCTGCTTGATACTGGCTGCCAACTAGACATCGAGCCATTGATGCCTGTTGAGCCTGACAATCCAGCCAGCTTTCTATCCACCGTATAGTCTATTAATCCAATCCATACTTTTTTACCTTGCTGGCAAGAATACTGTGGGATACCACATCAAAAGCGGTAGATGTGGTATATCTTCACTTTAGTCAGCCTTTTGATACTATCTCGCATGACCTTTTTTATAAACAAACTAGGGAAATACAACCTAGATGGAGCTACTATAAGGTGGGTGCATAACTGGTTGGAAAATCGTTCCCAGAGAGTAGTTATCAGTGGTTCACAGTCATGTTGGAAGGACATAACAAGTGAGGTCCCACAGGGATCGGTTCTGGGTCCAGTTCTGTTCAATATCTTCATCAATGATTTAGATAATGGCATAGAGAGTACACTTATAAAGTTTGCGGATGATACCAAGCTGGGAGGGATTGCAAGTGCTTTTTGAAGATAGGATTCAAATTCAAAATGATCTGGACAAACTGGAGAAATGGTTTGAAGTAAATAGGATGAAATTCAATAAGGAGAAATGCAAAGTACTCCACTTAGGAAGGAACAATCAGTTGCACACATACAAAATGGGAAATGACTGCCTAGGAAGGAGTACCATAGAAAGGGATCTGGGGGTCATAGTGGATCACAAGCTAAATATGAGTCAACAGTGTAACGCTGTTGCAAAAAAAACAAAAACAAAAAACAAAAAAACACTCGCCCCCCCAATCATTCTGGGATGTATTGTAAGCAAGACACGAGAAGTAATTCTTCTGCTCTACTCCGCGCTGATTAGGCCTCAACTGGAGTATTGTGACCAGTTCTGGGCACCACATTTCAGGAAAGATGTGGACAAATTGGAGAAAGTCAAGGGAAGAGCAACAAAAATGGTTAAAGGTATAGAAAACATGACCTATGAGGGAAGATTGAAAAAACTGGATTTGTTTAGTCTGGAGAAGAGAAGACTGAGAGGGGACATGATAACAGTTTTCAAGTACATAAAAGGTTGTTACAAAGAGGAGGGAGAAAAATTGTTCTTTTTAACCTCTGACTATAGGACAAGAAGCAATGGCCTTAAATTGCAGCAAGGGCGGTTTAGATTGGACATTAGGAAAACTTCCTAACTCTCAGAGTGGTTAAGCACTGGAATAAATTGCCTAGGAAGGTGGTGGAACCTCCATCATTGGGGATTTTTAAGAGCAGGGTGGACAAACACCTGTCAGGGATGGTCTAGATAATACATAGTCCTGCCTTGAGTGCAGGGGACTGGACTAGATGAACTCTCGAGGTCCTTTCCAGTTCTATGATTCTATGAAAAGCTTTGCTAAAGTCAAGATATATCATGTCCACCGCTTTCCCCATATCCACAGAGCCAGTTATCTCATCACAGAAGGCAATCAGGTTGGTCAGGCATGACTTGCCCTTGGTGAATCCATGTTGACTGTTCCTGATCACCTTCCTCTCCTCCAAGTGCTTCAAAATGGTTTCCTTGAGGACATCTCCATGATTTTTCCAGGGATTGAGGTGAGGTTGACCAGTCTGTAGTTCCCCAGATTCTCCTTCTTCCCTTTTTTAAAGATGGGCATTATATTTGCCTTTTTCCAATCGTCCGGGACCTCCCCCGATCGCCATGAGTTTTCAAAGATAATGGCTAATGGCTCTGCAAGCACATCAGCCAACTCCCTCAGCACCCTCTGATGCACTGGATCCAGCCCCATGGATTCGCTCATGTCCAGCTTTTCTAAATAGTCCTTAACCTGTTCTTTCACCACTGAGGGCTGCTTACCTCCTCCTCATACTGTGCTGCCCAGTGCAGCAGTCTGGGAGCTGACCTTGTCTGTGAAGACCGAGGCAAAAAACGCATTGAGTACTTCAGCTTTTTCCACATCATCTCTTACTAGGTTTTCTCCCTCATTCAGTAAGGGTCCCACACTTAACCTGACCTTCTTGTTGTTGCTAACATACCTGTAGAAACCCTTCTTGTTACCCTTCACATCCCTTGCTAGCTGCAACTCCAGTTGTGCTTTGGCCTTCCTGATTACACCCCTGCATGCCTGAGCAATATTTTTATACTCCTCCCTAGTCATCTGTCCAAGTTTCTACTTCTTGTAAGCTTCCTTTTTGTGTTTAAGCTCACCAAAGATTTCTCTGGTAAGCCCAGGTGGTTGACTGCCATATTTGCTATTCTTTCTGCACATTGGGATGGTTTGTTCCTGCGCTCTCAATAAGGCTACTTTAAAATACAGCCAGCTTTTCTGGACTCCTTTCCCCCTCATATTAGCCTCCCAGGGGATCCTGCTCATCAGTTCCCTGAAGGAGTCAAACTCTACTTTTCTGAAGTCCAGGGTCCGTATTCTGCTGCTTTCCTTTCTTCTTTCTGTCAGGATCCTGAACTCAACTATCTCATGATCACTGCTGTTGATGCCATCCAAAGTAACTACTTTAAGAACTGTAAAGTCCTGCCAGAATGATGAGCTAGGACAGGAGAGAACTTTCAGGGATAGAGAGGGCAGGAGGGGGGTCCAAGTTTCAGGCAGAACCTAAAAATATTACAAGCAGGAGCACCGCCAGCTTTTTTGCCGCCCTAGGTGGCGGAAGGTCCCGCCCCCGAAATGCCGCCCCCAAAGATCCGGCCGCCGTGGTCGCCGCCCCTCAAATGTTAGTGCCCTAGGCGACCGCCTAGGTCATCTAATGGGTTGCGCCGGTCCTGATTACAAGTAATATTCCATGTAAGTTTCATGGTTTTATATTTTTGAGAGAGATGAGAATATGCAAGGCTTAGAAGGACTATAAAGCTCACCAGACTTGAGTCTCTCATAATTATCAGACAAGTGTCCAGTACTTCTCTGTCAAAGGATGGTGATTTTGACATGAGGCTTTCAGTACTGAGGGGAAGAATAAAGCAACGAAAAATGGAGGTTCTCAGGGCTTTAACACAGATGTATTCTGGGAAATTCTGAACATTTAGCAGAAACATGGGGCAAAAGTTACCACCTACCCCCCTCTAAAAAGTGAGTAACCAACAACCTCTCATCTTCTGGACCGCTGCCCAATGTTCCTGCTGCAGTGCTGAATGTACCCTAGCATTCCATTATTTTTATGAAGCTGATTCAAGCCAATGCGGTATCTCTTGGACAGCTATTCAATTGGATTACAACTACAAGGCCAAGATTCTGTATGGAATCTTCTCCCACCCCTTCACTTGCAGCCAAACTGTTCTGCCATGTCAAGGTAAGCAATGGGAAATGTGTCCAGAACTGATGTATGTTTCTTGAGAGACACAGGGAATGGAATTTTCCTGTTAAACACAAGGAGGTACTTCACCTGTAATATGCCCCAGCCAAGGGAGAGAACCTGATTCTCCAGGGACTTAGTTTATCACAGAGCTCTGCATATAAAACCGCTCTTACTCTACAACACATGTCACTGGAGCATGAGCAGTAAATACCACACTTGCATTTCAACTTGTTCCTGGTGAGGTGTGGACTTCTATGACTCAGGGTCCTGTGCTGCAGCAAATTTGGTAGTGTTTTCTGAACCAGATCTGTTTTCCAGTTTCTAGAAAAGTTACTAGAACCACATCAGGTACAACAAAGGACCGGACATGAATGGGCTAATGTAACAATGCTAAACTTAAAGCTAGAAGAAAATGCATATTACATATCTGTGATGCGAACGTAACCCACACATCTCCTGGGCATGGTGTTCTGTCCCTTCTAGTGGCACCGAGACCACTTAGAGATTAATGAATCTGTTCTACAGCCTTAGCTAATAGCCAGTTGGCTTTTAGCTCATGTAGTAGATGCTCATGCACTAAGCTCCAGAGACCCAGGTTCAATCCTGCCCGACGATGACCGGGATCTGTTGGTGTTGCACACTGTTGAATCTGTGAAATCTTAGAGCTTGATACTCCAGCCATAGGATACAAATAGCTTCCTCTGTATTCAGCAGGAATGACTCGTATACCCCAGCAGGAGAATTCAGCTCCAAGAATGTAATTGCTTTCCAGACACTGTATTGACTTAACAGCAATCTACAGCACATAGTTAGTGCAAATATGTTTAAGATCAATGCAATAGGTCTGTCAATAATCAAACAAGATAAAAGTGTTAGGCATAAACCTATAACTATCTTTATTGCTAAGTTAAATAACCGTGAAATACACCTCTCTTATACAGTATGCCATAATTTCCAGAGTCAATTTTACCGGTATGGTAAAAGAAAATCTCCGGAAAAATGTTAAGTACAGCAGGATCCATTATGATACTGAATTACATTCATTTCTTATTGTTGTAAAGTTGCTTTATTCTCTCTCCAATGTCTTTCTGTAGAGTGCTACCCTTCCCACCTTTCATAGAATTTCTGCTATTCCTTAATGTTTTCCATAGTCTCCCAGATCTGTGAAATGGCCATAAAAAGAGAAGAAATATACTACCTAGAAATGTTGGTCTTAAATTTTTTTACCTTAAAGTACTGATAGCGTCCTAAAGTCCTAAATAAAAGAACTGCTTAATAGTAACTCTGTTTCACATTATGTGAATAGGGTTTTTTTTTTAAAGAAAAATAATCAATGCCAGTAAAAACTTAATATAAAATTTAGTTGGACATAACAAAATGACTCTGTGTGTCAATAATTTTGTCAAAAGGCTCTACCTAGATAGACAGGCTTCTATGTCCCCAATCATTGAAGGGGATGAGCAGCCGAAGTGCCTTTAATAACATAGAGTGAAGTCATTTCTTTTACTATACAATTATATTAAGTTAATAGCTATCCTTACAAAATCCAAAGAAACATATATTTAAAATATATGCATTCATATATCTAATAACCAGTACTGCCCATCTGGCAAAGATACACTTAAATCCACGTTACACAGAAAAAAGCCAAAGTACTTACCATATGTCTCAATAACTTTAAGGTAAAAATATGCTTGAAACAAGATGTTTGGGAACAGATGCACAATATACATTTGCCCAAAAAGTTCATCTGTTAACCATTGTACTGGCACCACTGATTTCTGTTCTCCAAGCCCAAGCTAACTCAGGGTTATAAAGTTTTCAACCTTCAGAAATACCAGCTTTCTTTTTAGAAAGGAAAAAAGAGAGATGGAGAGAAAGAGACAAAAAGACAGACAAACAGACAAAGGATCAAATCTCTTCAAAGGTAAACCCAGGTCTCTTACACCTAGCTTTAAAGTAAACTATTGCATCAGAACACCTTGGTTTTAATGGCTTTATTTTTACATGCAAATAGATGTATCCAGCTAATACATTATTCCATGCGGACAATGCTACATTTCTTCTCAGCAGGAACTCTGCCTTGTTTGTTTATCTTGGTGATCTTTATTCAGTGCAGTAGTTTCATAATTCAAGTCACCCTTCCTGTACAATTGGAGCTGTGAAAAATATGCACCACCAAACCAGAAACCAGACTGCCAGAAACTAGAAAATGCCCTTCCCCCTGTTGAGGCTCCCTCACGGATGGTGAAAGGGAAAAGCTGGAGTTTCCCTAGTTACTGCTCAAGCCTCAAAGTCTTTTGCATGGATGTTGGGTCCAGATCACCAACAGTTTCACAACACAGCATACCTAAATGGGATGGATGTAACCTGAGGCCTGTTAGAGTGAGAGAGGGCTACTGAGGAAGGGAAGGAGAGAAATGAATCTAAAAAACCAGTGATCTTCCTTGGTGTTTCATGTTCATATCCAAGAAAAGCTAAAGGAATTTTGAATCTACTTAGATTCTTTTTAGCCCAATGTCCGTGGGTTTCACAGAGCTCTAAGCAGGATGCTATAACTTGTGCTGTCTTGTAACAGCTTGCAGGAAGTTGCAATATCCAGGATCTCTGGAGCACATTGCACTCCTATCCTGACCCCTCCTGCCACTGAAATGCCCCCTCTGTGGAATACTGCTGCTGCATGAAGACAGCTTTAGATCCTTTTTATGCCCACAGGAGCTGTGCAAAGGAACTTAAGGGAAGCCAAGGATCTCAGCTTTGCCAATTCTCACAATTTTACTGAGATTCTTGTAATATTTGGTGTTTTTCTTAAAGCCTCAGCACCAAGAATCATGTTATTATGTGAGCATCTCAGCCTTCATTTAGCAAAAACAAAAAGGTGTAAGTTTTAGCTCTCATGATTATCAAAAGTATGTAGAAAATATGAATCCTAACAGCTCAAAAACCAGAGAGCAGAGAGATCCTCACATTTATTATTCTTTAACTTCTAATGATTTTTAAGACAATCTCATCATTTGGGCCCGGCCTGACTCATGACTTTTGAATGATTGGGATTGGCAGTACTGGAATCTAGCCCAAAGCCTAAACTACCCTTTTACTAATTATATACCTGTGCTCAGAAGCAACCATCAGACTGACTTTCTCACCTTTTATCAAGTTGATGTGAAGAAAAAAAAGCAAATGATCCAAGTCATTAGGAAGGTTTCAAAATTTCAACCTTAGACTCTGTACTGCAGCTCCAAATTAAATACAGCTATAGTTTTTCTTTGTTATATTCAATAATTTTAAGAGACAGTGATTGTCTCATTTCTATCCACAAAGATGATAACAGCAGGACACTACCAGGAGATCTTCTTTAGGATTATGTGATGGGGCTACATTCTATCATTTTACACACACGTAATACCTGCATAAGTGAATGGGAACATTGTGTAATGATTGATGGCAGGCTAAGGCCCAGATTGATCTGGAGTCTTTGGGGAAAATAAAACAAAAAAGAGAGAAAATCCAATGATCAACATTATGCACAGGAGGTCCTCCCACACGTACACATTCAACTGAAGAACCAAAAAATATTAATGCAGAAAATTCCACAATTATGTGGTGAAAGGTTTTAAGTCATCCTAATAAAAGTAAAGTTGTAAGAATCAATGTAGAGAATGAGGGAAGCATATCAGAACAAATAAAGTTATCATTTAATAGTGAAGGCAATTTGATAGGCCAGTATTCATTTATTTCTACTGTACCAGAGTTAAAGGGCATAACAACTGTTTGCAGGAAGAGGGCACTGACATAATGCTTAATAAATGTTTACTTTGAAGAGTTTCCTTTATGTTTGCATTAATACACACACATATTCTTAGGATTAATTCATTTGCATATTGCTGAGGATTCATAATGAAGTAAAACATCTATAAAAAGCAAAACATATTAGGATAAAATATTACTTTGATGTCATAATTTGTCATGGATCTTGCTTAACTATATACTTAGTAATTAAGAGCTTGATGCTTCAGTCCTTAATCAGGCAAAATTTCCATTCTGTCATCAGTAAGAGTTTTTTTTAAGTAAAGACTAGAGGATCATGTCTTAATTCTAACATCAATCAGCACATTTCTTTGGTGAAGGACAAATAGGACATTTTACTGTTACCGATGTTAGTTACTGTAACACTTATTTTTAAAAGGAGGAAATATAGTGCTTTACCTTCACTGCCCTTTTGGGTGTTTCGGCCATGATAGGAGGGAGTATGCCTTTGTAGAAACCAAACAATCTATTGGAGAAACAAAAAAAGGAATTTTGTACATATGTATGAAAGAGCATTAGCCAACAGGGAATTCTATTTTCATTTCAGAATAAAGCAACTAATCTCAGAGCATTCCCAATTATTCAGAAGAACCCTCACTGTGAATAGTGAAGCTCTGTTTTCTTGCTTATTATGTAACTAACATGCTACCATTTCCACTATACAACCAGAAGCAATGCAGCAATTAGTAAACAAAAATGCAATCCACACAGCCTGTACAGGTTAGAAACTCGTTTAAAAGAAAAGAAGAAATTTCTTGATAATGAAGAACAATCACTTTAATCATTCTTTCTGAACTTCTTAGCTACCCCTTCTTTCCACAGTAATGATGAAACTAGAAAAGTTAGGACCAAAAATGTGGATATGAGGGGCAAAAAGCATATTCAGAAAGTTGCTCACAGAAAACTGCAGGCACCTGTTCAGAGGCTGGATTAAGGCCGCTTTTAAAATTTGGTCTAAATGTTCATTGAAATGTATGAAGGACATTTTATTTGACAACTTAATTTTAAACATAAAATTTGTATCTACTTCAAAAAAGCATAACCAAGTTACCTAGTCATGATATAGAATTGACTGAATGCAAGTTTTTCATCTTGAAAATTTGTTTGGGTGATATAATGTAACTCTCTTAATGTGGATCTTTGTCCCCATCTAGTGGCTGGTCCCCATTAGGGGTTAATGAATTGTACAGCTAGGTTTGGGACTTAGTCCCAGTTTAAGTGATAAAGGTTTCTGCTTTTTGCCCCCAATTTAGCAAGGCACTTATACACATTCATAATTTAAAGCATGTTATTAGTCCCATTGCTTTCCATGGTACTACTCACATGCTTAAAATTAAGCACATGCTTAAGTACCTTGCTTAAGAGGGCACTTGAATTGTCCTTCATGCTGAAGATACAGGTTCAAACCTCACTGTAAGCCCAAGTGGGCTCAGTTACAACTACATATACCTATATAAATACTGTTGTTCTTACTGGTTTTAATGCATGAGTTTTCAGTTTATACTAAAATATTTAAAGTATGTTTATAATTAAAATTAATTCACCAGCACAGACTTTATGGTTTCCAGTGCAGTGTGAAGACACAGCACTAAAGGAGAGAGAGTTCTCCACAGATCCATTCCCAGATCTGCCTCCACCATAGAGAAGGGAGGAGTGCCATCTCTGCTATAGGCTCTCTTTGTTAAGAGCTGTGTAATCAGGTAGCCATTTGCAATGGACAACAACAACTTTATTGGTCTTAAAAACTTATGAACAATGTTACATATTCTTACATGCCAGTAGATGGTGCTCCTTCTATGAACTAGTTTCATATAATCACATATATACAGTTATACCGTTCTATAGATAAATCCCATCACACTCCCCTGCTCTTTGCAGGCCTAGGGATAATCATGTGGGGAATTTGAGTGAGGAGGACGTTGAAGTAGAGTTGAAGGGAAATGCATTTGTCCCCTTAGCAATGATCAAAAATTCCACAGGAAAACAATACTTTTCCCAACTGAGTTCCATCCACTCTGAGGACACTCCATTGGTGCTGCAGTGCCCGGGATCCAGTGGAAGCTGCAGGACACCCACATCAGGTCCTGGCCCTATGATTCCTACAGCTCTCAAGGGACACACAACCAGATTCCAAGCCTTGCCCCTTGTTTCTTCCGTAAGGGTAAATCTCACTGTGACAGGATAAAATGCCAGAGGAAAGCATTAAGACCTACCTGCCTCTCACATGACTCACAAGGGGATATAAGGAAAAAGGTACGTCTTCCATCTGGAGGGAAAAACCTCTGGGGACTGGAGTCTGCACTGGTCATGGGAATTGCTTTGTTTTTGGGTTACTTATGAATCTTCTTGTTTTTGAACAATAAATTGTTCTCTTAGGCAAGGGCCTGAAATGAACTCAGAAGCAGCACTGGTTTTTTCCTAGCCTGGTGCAATAGCCCATCAGTTTACACTCTCCACCTTGATAAAAAAAAATCTGGAAGAAATTCTGCAAGAGGAACCCTGATGGGAAGGGATTAGTTACCTTCCACCCTGCTTCCCTCTTCTGGGAGGGCATGGTCTGGCACAAGGTTAGGAAAACAATGTTCTGCTATGAAACAAGCAATTTTAAGTAGAGCCCAGCTGTGTTGAGCTCTGTACTAACAGAGAAAGAGACATTCCTGTCCCATAATGTTTACCATTTAAAGACACATGAATGGATTAAGGGTTGGGGATGGCTATAAGATATCCAAGTAAATGAACATGGTAAGGACTGGCACAATTTTTTTACTTATATATTGTGGGGTAGAAACATAATGAGAGTGAATGGCAGGAGTGGTGGAGTTAGTGGGATTAAGGAAATAAGAGGAGGAGGAACTGGAAGAGAGAGAATCACATCTCATCCCTTGCTGTGCTATAGTCAGCTGGAAGGGTTTTGCATAACGTAGAATCTGTCTTAGAAACGCGTGTGCCTGAGAAGAGGGTAAAGAAACAGGCCACATTTTCAACGTAATGCTTTACAAGCAATACACTTAAAAGATATAGTTATGAAAAACCTTTGTAGAGGCAACTATCTATCTAGTCATAAACATTCAAGGCACTAGTGTGATGATCATGGAAATATGGGTGTTTCTAAGGCCAGCAAAACCCTATATATACATTTGGATGCTAGGATTTTCTTTTTTATCCCTCTTTTCCCTTTGGTTGATCAACAACACTGTATCAGATCACTTACACATGATGTGTGACATTCTTCAAAGTCACCTATTGAATGGTGACATGAACCATTATCATTATAGTATCATTTAGGTCTTGTCTACACTACATAGTTTTGTTGGCAAAAGGCAGCTTTTGCTAACAAAACAGTGGAGGTGTACACACTACAAAGCTACTTTTACAAACTCTGCTGTTTCGCTGACAAAATAAAACCACCTCGACAAGAGGCATAGAGCTTTTTGCAGCAAAGTTAAAGTGACAAAGCGTCAGTGTAGATGCTGCCATTAGTTATGTCGACGTAGCTAGCCTCCTCTAGTATCCCACAATGCCTGCTGTGACCGCTCTGCTCACTGTTTTGAATTCAGCTGTGTTCCTCCCCTTTCAGAGCTCCGGGAAGTTCTGACAGCCGAGCATGCGGATCAGCTCTAGCAGCAAGGAGCAAATCATTAACATGGAATCCTCCTGCTCTCCCCTGTAATAGGAACACAGCGGCAGGCAGGGAGGGAGGCAGGGGCTGATGTGGTGTGGCTGTCCCCCTCCCCATACCTCAGGATTGGTTGCTCAGGTTGCTGTCTGAACAACACACTCTCCCCCAACACATACAGTCAGGGCCAGCTTTAGGCCGATTCAGCCGATTCGGCTGAATTGGGGCCCGCGCTAAGAGGGCCCCGTGCCGCAGCTCTCCACCCCGCCCCCCAGCTCACTTCCCCCTCCTCCCCTTCCCTGAATGCTCTGCCCCCTGCTCCTTCCCCTCCCCTGCTTCCCACGAACCTCTGATTTGCAGGAAGTCTGAAAAGAAGCAGGGGCGGGCAGACAGCACCAGGTAAGCTGGGGTGGCGGGGGCCGCGAGAAGGACTCCGGCCCGGCTTGGCTCCAGCCCGGCCCCCACTGGTGCGGCTTGGATTGGGTCTGGCCCGGCCCCGTGGCGCAGCTCGGGTCCAGCCT